TCGTTTTCAGCTATCTAAATAGCCATTCTCCATATCTTCGCTGACTGGAACACGTAATTAGAATTACGTGGAAGAACCGAAATATTCAAGGGCTTCACCGGTCAGTACATTTATAATAATAATGACGCCGCTTAAGCGGCTGAATGACGTTGAGATGGGGAATCTGATTCAGCACTGATAAATAATGGGGTAAAGAATAAGATTATAAAGACAACCGAAAATTAATTAATAGATAAATTCAAAACTTACTGCCACACTAATTGGATCATAAGCAATTTTAACATTGTAAACCTTTCCTTATCAGAAATTGACATCCATGGATTAGTGAAAAATGATGCCACCTAACCCGTTTGATAAAAGAAAAGAATTGTTAATACGAGAACAGCATTAATACATAAAGGAAAATATAAATATATTTTTTATATTACCATTTTAAGTTCGAGTACCTTCACTTGTAAAATTTAAAATTCCAATGCTACCTAATCCAATGATACAGCATTTATTGCAGCACACAATACATCACCCGTTAATATCAACCTCCTTAACATCCATTGTCTAAAATTTCTAATGCAGGAATTTATCAACTAATTTTCTAGGATATGAATTCCTGCGATCTGGGTAAATTACGCTAGTCTAGTTGATAATTTCAATAATCCATTTCCGTGATTTAATCCTGCCAAGCATAAACGAGTTGTAGAAACTCAGTCGAAAGCTTAACCGATTTCCTCACAATCATTTTTATTATGAAATTTGATGAATGTAACGTCTCGTTCAAATAATGCACGTATTAAAGTATCTTCTACGATTGATCCTTTAAATAATGTCTTCAGTATCATCAGCCCTTTTAGATTCCTAAGCTTAATATGTGCATAGCCAATACAATTGTTAGACTATTGAATTTTCCACCTTTAGAACTTGAGTAATAGCGGAAGCTACTCATAACATAATTCATTGCAGAACAATACCTTTTTTATATTTTTTCGGATCGGCAGCACTAAGTATTGAATTATGTCTGAATCAATAGTTAACATAATGATATCTTTTCCAGAAGTAATTACATGATGAACGCCTGAATTTCCAATATCATAAGCATATAAATCAACCATTGAGCTGGGTTAACAAATAATTGTTGAAAGGGAAAAATATTTGTATGATTTCGACACAAAATTTCTACAACTTGATCGCATCATCATTATGCAAAAGCCATTGAATAATGATTCAGAAAGTATCCTGAATAATACGTGACATTAGATCCACTTCCCGAGCATGTTTATGAAGTCTTGCCAATATAACCGTTCCAGTGCAAATTTTACGGTCTCTATATGTCCAGTGTTAGATTTTTTTAGCAAAATGTATATATGATCTCAGCAAAGATTTCATTAATTATACGACCTTTCAATGCGATAGAATATTAACCTCATCGTCATTTCTGATTATGATTGAAAGATTTCTTTAATCAGGACGTGAATTTAGATCCTATATTTTTGAATTAATTGAATTTTTTCCAAAACACTTACTGGCTATAAGTGGATGGGATACCAATTAAGTTACACGAGAGTTGTTCTAACGGATAAAAATATTTTGTATATAATTTTTTTAGCCAATCAAAATTGATTATC